AACAAGACGCTCTGTTGAGCGTTTAGTCGCTGGGGCTATTAAAATAAGGTCTTCTGCGCTTATTGCTCTCTCTTCTGAGAGCAGTGTATAAGCGCAGAAGCCCTGGGTACGAGGTTGATATCATTTATTGGATTTATCTGGCTTAGGCCAACTTCGAGGACACTGGAAACCAGGCTTAAACAAATTTATTGCAACTCCACATTTTGACCCTTCAACTGATTTTCTCAAAAAATTTAATGCCACCCCCCCCCTTCTAGTAAATTATTTATACTCATGGGGTCATGGCCCCACCTTTTGCCTCCCCCTCCCTCTCCATAAATAAGGACTGGTCCCTAACTGCAGGAAAAATATGTGCACTTCACAGAACATTTATAACAATTCAAAATTTATTACTTTTGCCTCAGGCTGGGTAACCACAACAGAAGTTGCCAAATAGGCCCTTTGAAGGTAGCTTGCGTGTCAGGCTCGATGCTTGAAATAGAGCCTGTTATACCCTGTGAGCAAAGTCCTCTCGTATTTCTTCTCGGCACGGCACGGAGAAGCGAGAGAGACTCTGCAGAACTTGTGTATAAATTCATTTGAGCATGCGCGAAGGTTGCTAAGCAACTGCCTATTTCCCAGAAGAAGATTTAATAAGTAGTTTCCCGTTCGGATCAAAACCGGTTATAAAACTGGTATCAAACCTGAAATTACTCATAATTATCCAAGTTTTTGGATTGTCGACTCCACAAATAATATACACAAGTTCTGCAGAGTCTCTCTCGTGCTGAGAAGAAATACGAGAGGACTTTGCTCGCAGTAAGCGAGTAAGCCTGTTACTGAAGTCAATAAAAAGTGGACAGTGATTTGGGATGCACAAAAATAACAACTAATCAAAATGGCGATTGTTAATTACGTATCAGTCAATTCCAGCAGTGCCCATCCCCCCGAGGTATTAGCCATTTCTGGGAAGAAAATGGCTATGTCCACAAGCCATTTGCAATCAAATTAAATATCAGTTTTCCAGCAAATCTACCAAATCCCCCATGATGGAAAATGTCAAAATCCTCACCCCATTGCTAAAAAATATCGGCAATAGCCCCACCCCCGTGATTAGGAAAACCTGCAAAGGCCCAGGGGTGGGAACTGCTGGAATTAATTGATACATTAGATTATCAAAGCTAATTTAAAATATGACAATAACGGCCAACTTTTCCACCAATACCTCAAAACTAAATATTCCAATTTTCATCGAATGGCCAGGAATTACATATTAAATAATAATAACTGTTATTGACTGCAGCAAAGGCAGTCATTAACATGGCCAAAAGTAGTTAAAGTACAATTACAAGTACGAAATATCATTACGTAAACAACAATTTGGCATTACCTTAAAAACAAAGCTATTTATTTCTGACCAATGGGAATTTTGCGTACGAATCATGTGCATCAATCCTTTTTACTGACCTCAGTAGCAGGCTTTATTTCAAGCATAGAGCCTGACACGCTAGTTACTTTTAATAACCCATTGAGTTGCATTGCCCCCCCCCCCCCCACTTAATTTCAATACATTGTTTTCACCATTGTGTTTATACAACCTTGCAAATTTACTAGTAGGAATTTCCATTGTGTTTGCAGCCCTTACACTTTGTGTTTCATTATGGCATCTTGACCTTGAAAGAGTCTATTACTGTGGCTCCAACATTTTCCCGTTCGGCGTTAGAAACACAATACATTGATCATAAAATGACTGAAATATTACAGATTTAAAAGCCTGACACCTAGCGGCAAAGTTTAAATTTCACACAAGTAGTGATGAATGGTGATCACTGTGGTTGTATTTCGGTCTTGTTAGACTACACCATGTTCTTTTGACCACCTATCCGTAACAGGATTATTTGCATCAATATTATATTATTGTTGCGATTTACAAAGGTTGCGGCCCGTTCCAACTTTGTAAAATTGAAAATTGTGAACTTTTGTCCTCTATTTCAAGCTTGTAGCCTTCCAAGTTTGCTCACATAAAATGACTTTCGCTTTATAAAGTCTGTTTCATCGGAAAACTTTTAAGGTTCATCCGAAAAATAAAAAAAAATATGTACAAAATCGATGATACCATTCGCTCGTAGTATCGGCGGCCATCTTGAATTCTGCGACGAATAGTAATGACGTAATTTTTATTTTTTATTAATGACGTAATTGTCATTTTGTGGCTAACGATCCAAGATCCGACACAAATGCGTGCCGAAACCTAGAGTCGCTGTGGGCTCTGCCCAGCGACTAATAATTTGGGAATAAATGTCTTCTAGGACTTCTGTGATGCGGTTAGTTCTTCTGTAGTTGCTGATTACTGGCTTTGCCATTTGGTAAACTAAAAAGTTGTGTCGGGAACTGATAGATAAGATTATTATTTTAATTGATTATTAATGCATGAGGTATTGATTAGGTGCAGTCAAGGTGAAGGTGTGAGTGAAATAGTCACGAAAGAGAGAGCAGAGATTTAGTTGAACAGTGAGAGAGAGAAATTGCATTGTTTGAAAGAAGGATAATAGCCCGTGCGCTATCTATACGTAATCGTGATCATTGTGAACCTTTTAACCGGTATATACAGGGTGTATCATAAAAAACGGAGTCCATCTTTTGTACTTAATAACTATCGGCCTGCTATATTTAATAAAACGGTTCTAGGCTTATTTTAAGGCCTGCTCATTTATCTTTCGAACAAATGGTCATCCGTGTCTTTAGTGCAAGTAATAACTGCACAGGAGAAAATTTAGTAAAACCTATAATTTTTAGATGCCGCTTAATTATACAAATTTACTATGATATTCCATAGTCGGTTACAATGTTTGAATTTTCTTGTTCAAACTTTAATGTTCTTGTTGCTACATCAGAAAAACTAGTAAAAACTTGTTAAAAACATTCTAAAAGAGATTAGGTTGTTTTATTTATTTCAAAATCCTAAATTATTTCCAGAAATCATCAAAACAATCTTATGTCCATGCATCGTCCGAACTAACGCGCCATCGAATCGGGCGCAATGTAAACATAAATTAGCAAGTAGACGGCAAGCTAAAACACGCTTCAGCTGGGAATATAAACGCATTTGAAGGCAGCAAGTGAATTTAAAATAGTGTATTGGAAGCCTTTATTACTTAGTTTTTACAAGCTATTGCCAAAATGCCTCAATTTGCTCGTTTTGTTGACAAAATAAGTTATTTTCATCAAGTATCGATTTGTTATTGCATCTCAAATTTTTGACTCTCCAATCGCAATCACTTAAAATACTATTATTCACGAACTACTGGATTAAATTTACGAAACAACCCATCGTTGGAAAGCTGAATGTCTACGCTTTAAAACAAATGTAAACCTGCATGAACGTTTTACTCTGACATTCGTTTCGAAATTTATATTTGAAGCGAGGACTCCGTTTTTTATGATACACCCTGTATATATATATGTATATATATACCCGTTAAATTTTTTAGCAAAATTTATGTTTGTTTGAATATACATTTTTATTACTTCGAACATTTGGGACTTGTCGAGGACTACGTTTTGGAGGCAAATTCTCGACAGTATATTACATCTGTTTTACCCTATATTTAAATGTTTAGCCGTTGGTTTCATCGTACTGTCCAGGCATATTCAGCAAATAAACATCTTCATAGCTGTATCTGCCCCATATGTTATATGTACATGTTAACATTTAGTTTCCTGGATATACATATATGATTATAAAGCTATTAATTATTCAGTATTTAATTGACCGTGTATGATGACGAAGAACAGTATGCCTTTATTATAGCTAACGTCATATAGTGGTTGACTTCGCGTCAACAAGCTGCTATATCTTTACTGAGCTTAAGCTATTTCTCAGGTGCACTGATAGCACTTCACGTGTTAATTACAGCAGGACAGTAAACGTACTCAACTTAGGGCTTTTTGGAACGTTTAAAATGTTTCTTCTTGGAACGAATTGCCTCATCTTTCTACTAATTTTATCGTATATATGGTTGACACAGAACCAGCCGAAGATAAAAAAATATTTTAAGTTAATTACATTATTTAATCACTTGGCTAGGCATTTCGTGACATAGCCCTAGATTTATATAAAGATCATGTATACAGTCAACTTAAACTATTTGAAGAAGAATTGTTTCTTACCGAAATTGTAGATTTTGATCAGTTAATTGTCGGCTGTGATAGATTATGGACTAGCTGTGGTAGCTCGTGCGTAATTTAAAAGGTAATTCGGTCACATTCACAGGTAAAAATTCCTTTAAATTCCATCCCTTCATTTCTATCATCATTATATTGTAATGCCTTATGGCGTTTGTTTTTGTTAACTATATGTTTCGACAATA